TAAATGATCGCTTTTTTAATAAACAATTAAAAATTTAAGTGAATTTTTGCATAGGTAGGTAAGAAATTTTTTTTTCCTTCTATTTAGAATTTTATAAGCAATTTTTACCAAAGATAAAATTTTTGCGCTTCCAAACAGAAAAAAGGTTATGAATTTTTAAACACAATTGCGTTGGCACTGCCGCAGCGCTACGCGTGCTCGCGAGCGCCCGTCTACTCTTACCTGCATTCTGTTGTATTTACACGAACACAATAAATAAAATATGTACATATACATTAAACAGAGCTTTATTAACTTGTGTTAAAGATTAATCTCAATATTATTTACAAACTTTTAGTACAACACTTTTAGTATGATTCGAGATAAGCCCTACATTTTAAATACAGCACGCTATGAAAATGAAAAAAAAATGCAAATCGCAAGTATGTACACGTACAATCTTGCATACAACTTTTGTTTCACAGATTGTAGTGTTTTCTTATGTTAACGTACAGTTTGTCAACACTAATCTTATTGTTGTAATCATGTCTCTGCCTCTTACCGTCTTAATAGACTTACCGTACGTGCTAAGACATGATTTTGTTGCTAAATCTGAAACAACTTATCTACAATTATTAAAATATAAGCTTAAAGATGGTAAATTTTTCGTCACACCTGATTTTTCAGAAAATTATTCCTTTCACGTCCAAGATGCTATCCAAGCACAACATTGGAGTAAAGATCAAGCATCACTACTAGTTTACGTTATATACTATAAAAAAATAGTATTATTTACCATATTGATTACGTAGTTTTTTCTGAGTATGAAAACCATGATGCAATCAGAGTTTATTTGTATAACTCAAAAATGATTCGATTTCTAAAAAGAAAATTTGATGCAAAACGTTAGAAAGATGTTTTATTTTTTGAATAGAGCAGGATCTCAAAATAAAAATCGCTTTCATCTACTGAATTTGTTATACCACGAAATCGACTTTGAAGTTAAAGCTGAGTGGCATTTTATTGCTACTGCTCACGGCAAAGGAGCTTGCGACGGTATTGGTGGATGTATTAAGAGAAGTGCATATCAAGCAAGCTTACACACTCAGACTATTGTCACAACGAAAGAACTTTATAAATGGGCCTGTAATTTTTTTTAAAAGATTGATATTGACTATAGTTTAGTAGACGAATATAAGAAACGAAGAACACTACTACAGCCTCGTTCTTCCTTCGCTAAAACCACAAAAGGAACTCGGCAATATCACTGCTTCAAGCAAGTCGATTTGAAAAGTGTAGGTTGCAAAATTATTTCTAATCATTCAAAAAGTGTTGTACAAAAAGTTTGTAAATAATATTAAGATTGTTATTTTACACAAGTTAATATAGTTCTATTTAATGTATATGTACATATTTTTATTTATTGTGTTCGTGTTAATACAACGGAACGCAGGTAAGAGTAGACGAGCGCTCGCAAGTGCCCGTAGCGCTGCGGCAGCGCCAACGCAATTGTGTTTAAAAATTCATAACCTTTTTTCTGTTTGGAAGCGCAAAAATTTTATTTTTGGTAAAAATTGCTTATAAAATTCTAAATAGAAGGAAAAAAAAATTTCTTACCTACCTATGCAAAAATTCACTTAAATTTTTAATTGTTTATTAAAAAAGCGATCATTTATAATTTATTTTTAACAAAAAAAACGTTTTTTTTTAAGAATTTTACTCTGTTAAGATTTAAGAATATAAATACCAAATTTCGTTGATTTTTATCAAGTTTTTGCTGAGATTTTTCTATTTAATTAAAAAAACGTCTAAAAGTTCAATTGTTTATAACATTGTCAAAAAGTCGAATTCCAAAAAAATAAAAAAATACATTCTTTTTTTTATACAAATATACAAAATAACCCAAAAATTATGTTAAAATTCGGTAGTTCTGTTTTTAGTGGCCAACTTCAGGAATTTTGACTCATTACAAAAAACCTTTATGATGAGGTTTTCATCTTTGAATGCTTTTATTTTCAATATAAGTTGTATTCATTGTATAATAAAATATTGTGATGCAAAGCTATATGTTGTGTACTTATTTGAAATAAATTTAAAAATTAGAAATATCATTAAGAAATGTAAGCAAAGTGTGAGACAATTAATTATTCATCTAACAAGTCCATCGTTTTGTTAATATTAATTTTTAATTATATGTTATTATGAAATTTTTAAGCTTAGAATATTCTTAGTGGGTTAGCACGCAAAACGTCCAGGGGGCGAAGCCACACTACTTGAACAGAAATTGTGAGTAGTCGATCAGTAGGACCTACTTAGGCTGCCTCTTTATCCTACTGAGGTCCTACGTTGGCAGCGTCAGTTAGCGTTTGGTAGTCCCTAAGTAGGCTGCCTTCATTGACGCAACATAAGCATTTTTGAATTGATAAATACAGATATGTTAGTATGAAAATACACATTGTATTATAATTAAACAGAAGTTATGGTTCATTTCTTACGAATTATATTTAAATTCTTCATGAAAATTTTTCATCACAGCATTGTTGATCACGTGTAGTTACAAAAATATAACTGTTAGATAGATAAAATTTTTATATAAATGAAAATATAAATGTAGCCTGAAGAATATTACTCATTCACATCTGATATCAAGTTAACCATATGCACATGGGACTCGTGAGTTAAATCTGAGGAACTAATTAATAATAACCAAGTTATAAATACAAATTAAGAGCTCACACTGCAGTTGACTTTTCTTTCATTCAAAAACATATTGACTTAATGGAATGACAGATAAACATGACTTGACGGTAGACATCTTAATTACAGAGCACCAACTTTTTGATGTAAGAATTTTTTAACTCTAGTACGGTTTCTAAACAGATTTTATTGAAATGTTTTGAAGCAACTACAATTGTTTCTAATTTGGTACTTTAAGAAATTTTGATTAGTTGACAACAAATTTAATGTCGATTAATTTTGTCAGTCTCACATGTATAAGAATACTCATTATTTATTTAAATTAAACTCAATAGAAGACACTCGTAACTTGTATACCCATGTATAGTCTTACGCTACAGTTTACACTGCAACTGTAGCTGCTACAACTGTTTATACAATTCGAGAGGCCAATTAAAGTAGGTTATGTAGGCTGCCTAATAAGTACCTTACGCACGCACCCTAATGCACCTCTACGTGAGCCCTCAGTAGGCTGCCTAAGTAGAGCCTCGTGAACTGTAGAGGCAACCGACTTTCGTTTACATTCGGTTAGTATATATGTGGCGACTCAGCCGACACGCCTGGCGCCATCTGGTAGGCGCAAGCAACAGCTCATTCCTCGCGAGCTCTACTAACTCGCGATCTGCAGCAGATGCGCACGCAGCGCGCACAGCGTTCTCTCTCTTCCACTCGCGGGCACTTTATATTATTTTGTACTTAGATTAGTTGTTAAGTGTTATTAAGGAGTTCATGAACATTAAACTATTAGTATTTTCTCTGCACGCACTTTCCCTTTGGCGGCAACGCCGAACCATCGCAACAATATCCAAAGTGGTGACCCCGAGTGCGTCAGTGTTTTTAGAGTTCTCTCTCACGCGCTGCAAATGGTGTGCAATTTGGGAGTAGTACAGTGTGCGACTCTTTGACTTTTTTTTCTTTTCGTCTAAGTGCAACAAACAAATGGAAAGGACAGTGCATAGTGTGCGTTTTTTTGTGCTGTGATTTTTCTCGAGCACGTGCTCGTGCAGTGCGGCGCCCATGAACGATCGCGTGACCCACATACGCGCGCACGCCCGCATTTCCCTCGCGCCGCATGTCTAGCAGAGGCCGAGGCTTCTCGTCGGGCAGTGAGGGCACGCCACGTGCCTCGTATCGGCAGGCAGGCAGGTGGGCGCCAACGCTGCAGGAGTCTGCCGCTGCCCTTGCAGCGGCTGAGTTGCGGCGCACCGCGCCACCCGCTCCCAACGCGCTGCAGGCTGAGGAGCCGGGCAAGCGCGCGCCCACCGACACACATAAGCCAGCGAGCCCCAAGCCGCGCACGGTGCAAGGCGAGCACTGAGAGGACGCTGGGGAGAATCCGGCAGCAGTCATGGCAGCAAACCCCAGCAACATGCTGCAACGCTTTTGGCGCGACGAGCCGGAGCTCTGGTTCATGCAGACCGAGGAAATCTTCAGCGCCAACAAAGTAACTGATGATGCACTCAAGTATGGTGCAGTCTACAGTGCCCTGGACAAGGAGACACTTAGAGACCTCGTGGACCTGCTCAAAAACAAGCCGGAGACAGACAGGTATGATTTTTTAAAAGCAGCTCTGATGAAGCGTTTGGCAGAATCCAAGGAGGTGGCCCTGAGGCGCCTACTCACCAACGTGGAGTTGGGAGACAGCACGCTTTCGTAGCTCTGGCGCAAGATGAAGGCGCTGGCCGGAGAGGCGGACGACGGCTTGGTTAAAGCGCTGTGGCTTTCCAAGTTACCGTGTCACGCGCAGACACTCCTGCAGGCCTTCCAGTCTGCCTCGACACTCGTTCCAAAACATTCTTTCTGATTGACACGGGATCAATAGTCTCGTTGCTGCCCAAGGCTCAAGCCAAAGGTAAGCTCACGCAGCAAGCGCTCACTCTTTCAGCTGCCAATCAGACCGACATCCACACCTACGGAGCACGCAAAATGCTGCTGAATCTGGGCCTGCAACGCGACTTCGAGTGCGACGTTATCGTCGCTGATGTCCCGCACGCCATCCTCGGTGCGGACTTCCTGGCCAGACACGGGCTACTGCCGGACCTACAGAAAAGACGGCTTATCGACCGACTCACAGGTCTCTCAGCGCCTGGCCACCTGGCCATGGCAGGGGTCTTCTCGGTCTCCACCATCATTCCAGCCCGAGGAAGCGACTGCCTTTATGCCCAGCAGTACACGCAGCTGCTCCAGGACTTCAAGGACGTGTTCGAGCCCAGCTCCACGCCTATCAGGGTGCCGGACCTACCGGTCAGGCACACCATCACCACCACGGGACCCCCAGTTTCAGAGCGCCCAAGGCGCCTTGCAGGGGAAAAGCTTGCAGCGGCCAAGAGAGCGTTTGCCGAGCTCCTGGAGAGAGGGATCATACGACCATCCAGCAGCTAGTGGGACAGCCCACTCCACATGGTGCCCAAGAAGGATGGCTCCTGGCGTGTCACGGGTCATTACAGGCGTCTCAATGCCTGTACCATCCCGGACCGCTACCTCCTGCCCATGATCGAAGATCTGCTCCAGGAGAGCAGAGGCAACATCTTCTCCGCGGTGGACCTCCTGAAGGCGTTCTATCAGATTCCGATTGCCAAGGAGGACGTGGAAAAGACTGCAGTCACCACGCCCTTTGGTCTTTATGAGTTTCTAGGTACGTCTCTGGGGCTCCGCAACGCCACGCAGTCGGCTCAGAGGACCATGGACCATATCCTGCGGAAGCTGCCCTTTGTAAAGGGGTACGTGGACGATCTGTTGATCATCTCGCAGAGCCATGAGAAACACCTTCGCCACCTGCGTCAGCTCCTGGAAACCCTGCGAGAAGCCAAGCTGAAGATCAACGCTGAAAAATACACCATTGGTCAGCCACAGGCACTCTTCCTGGGTTACCTGGTCTCCCGAGATGGCTTCCAACCTCCACCGGCCAAGGTCAAGGCAATCAAGAGCTTTGCCAGGCCCAACACTGTCACGGAACTACGCCGTTTTCTCGGGATGGCCAATTACTATCGACGCTACATTCCATCTGCAGCCCAGACTCAGGCGCCACTGCATGAGCTGCTCAAGGGCCTTTCCAAAAAGGCACAGCTCGCGTGGATGCCGCAGGCGGACTTGGCATTTCGTCATTGCCGTAACAGCATCGCCGAGGCGGCTTGCACCGCCTTTCTTCGACCCGATGCGCCGTTGGCCCTCAGAACCAACGCTTCGGATGTGGCAATTGGAGCGGTGCTGGAGCAGCAGCACCTGGATGCCTTCTGAGAACCTCTGGGATTCTTCTCTCAGAACCTCACGAGTGCTCAGTGCAAATACAGCACTTATGACAGGGAGCTGGTGGCAGCGCATTCTCGGGGGACGGACCTTCGTAATCTACACGGACCACCGTCCACTCGTCCATTTGGCTCACCAGCACTCGGACAGAGCGTCACCTCGTCAAGCTCGTCACCTGGAGTACATCCTGCGCTTCAACGCCAAGTTTCAGCACACACGCGGCCGTGACAACCTTGTCGCGGACGCGCTCTCCAGGATGCTCATCGCCCAAACGGTTCCGGAGCAACATCACCAGGACTCCAAGCCAACGTCGACGACCACCACCACCCATGTGTCGAAAGCCCACGTTGCGCCCGCAGAGGACTTCATGGCTGCCAACGACCCCAAGGTCGACACAGTCACCATCACGATGCCTGCCGCTCTGGACACACGCGCCATCGCAGAGGCCCAGGCTGCTGACGAGCAGCTACCAAGCCTTCTCAACGATCAGGGTGCTCTTCAGTTGTTGCAGGTTCAAAAAGATGTTGCCAGTCTCTACTGCGACGTCTCCACCGGAGAAGTGCGGCCCTACCTACTGGCCTCGCTGCGACGTCAGGCCTTCGACATCATCCACGGTCTGGCCCACCCCGGAGCCAAGGCCACTGCCAAGGCCCTCACCAGGCATTACATTTGGCCGGGAGCCCGCAAAGACGTGACGCTCTGGGCTAAGCACTGCGAGGCCTGTCAACGCTCCAAGGTCTCGTGCCACAACCGAGAGGCATTGGGGCATTTCAGTGAACCGGACAACCGCTTTGAGCACATTTACGTGGATCTTTTCAAGCTGCCCTTGGTCCAGGGGATGCAGTACTGTCTAACCATCATCGACAGGTTCTCCCGCTGGCCCATGGCAGTTCTATTGCCAAACATACAGGCATCCACAGTTGCCAAAGCGCTCAACGACAACTGGATCAGTCTCTTCGGCACTCCCTTGCGGATAACATCGGATAGAGGTGCGCAGTTTGGGTCGGCGCTGTTCGTCGAGCTGGCGCGTGCCCTGGGAGCCAAGCTCTGCCACACGACTTCATACCATCCACAGTCAATCGGCATGGTGGAACGCCTCCACCGCACCCTTAAGGCGGCGCTCAGATGCTGTCCGCAGTCCTGGGTTGACGCGCTGCCCATGGCGCTGCTCGGATTGCGCTCGGCCTACAAGGAGGATCTTGAGGCCTCGCCCGCGGAGATGGTGTTTGGTACCGCGCTCCGTCTTCCGGGCCAGTTCTTCGTTACATCCTCAGTACAAGCCAACCACATCAACTTTGTCCACAGTCTCAAACAGCTGTTCCTGTCGTTCAGACCGGTGCCAGCTTCGAGACACAGCAACAACCATCCTTTTAGTTACAGGGACTTGCGAACTTGCTCGCACGTTTTTCTGCGCATTGACAGCATCCGCAAACCACTGGAGCCACCGTACTCGGGACCACACAAGGTGCTCGAACGCACAGGGCACCGCACCTTTGTCATCGAGCGCGCTGGGGCTCCTAAGGAGGTTTCTGTGGACCAGCTCAAACCAGCCTACCTGGAGGCTGAGGCACGCAATGGCCCTGCAGACGACTATATCGCTGAGCCCATCATCACATCTCAACACACTCAGCCGTCTCCACCGCTCACATCTCCGACAGCTGTCCCCCAGGTCGAAACTCAAGCCACACAGTCTGAGCCAACTCCAGCTGCTTAGAAAGCTTCACGGCATGTCTCGTTTCCAGCTGTAACCAAGCTGGTCACTGGAGGGGGAGTGGATGTGGCGACTTAGCCGACACTCCTGGCGCCATCTGGCAGGCGCAAGCAACAGCTCATTCCTCGCGAGCTTTACTAACTCGCCATCTGCAGCGGATGCGCATGCAGCACACACAGCGTTCTCTCTCTTCCACTCGCGGGCCAGAGGCCGCCTCAGCTGTGGCACGGCGCAGGCTGAAGAAGAAGTGCGCGCGGCCATCAGAGTTTCCTCTCCATCTGCTCAAGACGCACGCAACGCTGCCGAGACCAAGAAGCCGCATGGCTCACTTAAGCAGCCATGCGAGCCGGCACACAGACTTTACAAATCCGTTTCCATCACAATCACTTTATATTATTTTGTACTTAGATTAGTTGTTAAGTGGTATTAAGGAGTTCATGAACATTAAACTATTAGTGTTTTCTCTCCACGCACTTTCCCTTTGGCGGCAACGCCGAACCATCGCAACAATATCCATATATATATATATATNTCTCAAGCCCGATCGAGGTGGGCTTGGACCATTAAATTATACGCCTTTTCTAACTGCGCCATGCGCAACAATTAATACTCAACCAAAGTTTGTTACTCAAATAAATAACAATGGTAATATAAATGATATGGTATACCCAAAACGGAAGGTCTTCACGGGAAAGAGGGCTTTAAAAATGGTAATTGAGCCCGATAATGAAATAGTCAAAAAGCAGCAAAAACTTAACAACGAATCCAGGGACTCAACATTGAATGGTTGAATAATTTATTTACATATATATATATATATATATATATTTATTTATTTATTTATTTATTTACACTGTTACGGCGCAGCACCAAGGTGCTCACTTGACTAACGAGGAGAGATGAGAGAGGAGGAGCGAAGCAACAGAGAGCAAAATAAGTCGAGTTAGACTAGCTTGGGAGTCTGTGTGAGGCGGTAGTGTAGTGCGATTTTAAGAAACGTGACAGAAAGAGTTTAGGGGCACCAATGACGTTCAGTTAAGTTAGACAGTCAAAGTAAACGTCCCCCCTAATGTACCCAGAGGATCCATGAACACACGATAGGTTGAGACCAAGAAGCTTGGCTGGTGGGGACGCTTATCAGTTCCTTCCTCAGGATAAAGGGTAATACCACATTGTCTGTCATCTCTAGTAACTGCATTCAACCAAGTAAGTTCGTAAGATTTCTTGCAAATGCGTATTTCTTTACTCAGAAGCCTACAAAAGTTATTTTATTGAGACTGCTTGTGTTTGTACTCCTGATCCAAAAATCTCGTGCTCCCGCTTCTTTGCATGCAATTAAAGTTTCAGGGCTGCCTCTTGTCCAAGGTATGCGTACTCTGTAGGATATTTCCCGTAATCCCAAGGCACATGACTACACATATACAGTGACAGATGCGTGAATGCAGGTAAATTGACCTGCGGGATCAACGAGGAGTGTCGGCGAGGGTTTTCGAGCCTAGCCACCTGATCGAGATTTAATTTGGCAGGATGTGAGGTCACGTCTTGGTCTTTGTGGTATTTTCTCCCGCACACCTCGTTACATGGCACTCGATAAAAAATCTAGGATAACTGTACGTTTGCAACGTCGATCGTAAAGACAACACGTACAGTCACATAGATACATAGATACGCAGACAGACACGTAGAGGTCGAGGATGTCACCAAACCGCGCGTCGTTTACGTGCTACATTTTAGGCTCTCAGTAGAATTTTAGAGCCCAAAAATTTTGTACACAAGTACAAGAGAGACGTAATGGTTATTCTTTATGTCAAATGTATACGATTACTCTCTACTTGTAAGTGCTACAAGTACTATACACTGAGTGACCGCATTTGTGTGGATACCCTTATACAAGTGTATAATTTGAAATTGTACTACACAAACACTAATACAAATAGTAGACGATGCTGTGTTTTTTTTCCTAGCTATGCCTTAACATTCCTAAAAATTCATTTTGTTGTTTTGTTATTGTTTTTTTAGTAACAATTAGAATTACAAACAAATTAGAGAAAAAAAATTGGCTCCATAGCAAAATAAAGCAGGAATTTGTTGCGCCCAGTTAGTGTCTGGACGCAAGGATTACCTCTACAGCAGGGCCTACCCCAAGCTTGTATCTGGTGCAAACAGTCACAGTCAATATTGTTTTGCTGTACATTTAAATCCAAACAAAATCCCTCAAGCTACATGGAATCACTACAAAAGGAACAAGAAGATTTGGTCAAAAAGTTTTACAGCAATTTATCGAAGCAAAAAAATGCAAGGATATATTTAAAATGCTTGAACTAACTTGGACCAGTGACAGAAGAATAAAAACAAAACGTTTATTCACGTGAATGCTAGGCATTTATGACTCAGCAAATTTTATTTAGCCAGAGGGGAATCCGCA